AAATATATCTTTATTGATTTCAGAGAGAGGAAGGGAGAGGGAGAGAGAGAGATAGAAACATCAATGATGAGAGAGTCATTGATCAACTGCTTACCCTGCAACCTGGGCATGTGCCCTGACTGGGAATTGAACCCCGATCACCTGGATCCTAGGTCGATGCTCAACTGCTGAGCCACGCCTGGCAGGGCCCAAAGTCTTGATAAAAGGCTGCTCTAGAGCTCTGGGAAAGTCACAGTCCAACGTGCTGTTCTGCCCACCAGGTATTCTGGCTGCACCCTGGGGGCTCCTCCAGAACATTTTTGCATCTGGCTCCCACTGATCCCATCACAGAGGCTGTCTCACCCCAGGATCCAGGACTACCCTTGGGCCTGAGGAATGAAGACTAGAGAAACTTTATGAACGTTCCAGGTTCTGGGCTGTGTATATTGCGAAGGTCTCCTTTAATCATTATAAGAAGTCTCTGAAGTGTGAATGTCCTAACACTGAGCTGGAACTTCCCAAGACATCCCTGCCCAGGGATCCTCTTGCCTGTTGTCCTGATGACCAGTGGGTGCCACAGGACCCTTTACTGTGGTACACAAGGCCTTGCACACTCTGTCCCCTGCCAGCCTCTCCCCCTTCACCTCACACCCATGCCCACTGGATTTCTGGGCTCTAATCACGATGGTCTTAGATTTTGTTCTCCCCACAAGCCTTCCTGCCTCAGGGCCTTTGCGCATGCTGTTCCTTCTGACTATACACATTTCCCTTAATTCCTCTTCATTCTTTAGTGCTTGGCTCAAATGTAACTTCTGTAGAGGCATCTCAGGTCCCTGGGGGACAGTCACACCCCAGTGACACAGCTTCAGAGGACCCGGCACTTTTTCCTAGCTCTTATATGAATGTAGTTGACCAAGTAATCAGGTGTTTAGTATATGTCAAGTTCCAAACCTTGGACCTGGTTGAGGGGGTCCCTGCCCTGCTAGGGGTCCCCTTACTCTAAACCTTCTCTGTGCTTCTCCCCACAGGATGAGGAATTTGTGGGGCTCTCTTAGAGTCTAGGCCCTTTCCTTTAGACCACAGTCCTGATATATGGGACCCCAAAATTCCCTGCCCAGATGGCCCCAGTCCCATTCCCTCAAGGGTGGACCATGTGAAGTGGCCAAAGTGAAGCAGGCTGCAGGGGGTAGGGCAGTTTGCATTCATGGATCATGGACTGGAGTGTCCACATATGTGCACGTGAACTTCTGTTTGGGGTAGGATGGATCTGTGGTTGGGAAGATACAGGGGGCAGGCTGAGAGCGGAGCCAGCTCTTCTTACGCCACCACATTTGGGCATGGAATTCGGAAGAATCAAAGTTTACATCAGAACCTGGCCTTCCAGTTCAGTATGAAAGTATTATTTGTCAAAGTAGGAGAACAGAACATATTTTATTGAACAGTTGTTAGCTTGATTTAAAACTTTACAGCATTTCAACGTATGTGGCCTCCCTTTGTACTTTGCCCAAGCCCTGCTGGCATTTGGGGTGGGCTTGGGTCAGCCTCACCCACCAAACTGTAAGCTCCACCAGGGAGGCAATGTGCAGTACCCCTGCTCCAGAGCACAGTGTCTGGCACAGAAGAGCAGATAATAAATATTGGCTGTGAGACAAACAGGATAATCCAAGTAAAATGCTTGGCCTGGTGCAAATGTCAATAAATATTAGCTATTATTGCTTGTTGAATAAATGAACAGGTGGGGTAAGGGGCTGAGACCCATAAACTGAGGTGGTTTGTGTATGAGGGAAGGGGGGGGGCTGCTGACTCTGCCAGGGTCCACACTTTCTTTATTGAGGTTATGCTCTCCTTCCCCCTACCCTGCAGGCTCTCCCAGCTCTACATGGCAAGGGGGCCACCAGGGAGGCATACTTGACAGCCAGGGCCTGAGAGGGGCTGGGGACTCCTGCTAGTGCAATTTACACTCCCCCCAAGGAAGAACAGCTGGGCAGGTTCCCTCTTCACCTGCAGGTACCTCCCCAGGCCCAGAGAGAACCCACTCAGCTTCATTTCTTTTGCTTTACCCATAAAGGGAAAGACTTTACCCTGTGCTTTGGTGTAAGAGGAACTTGAGCTGGGAAGTCAGATCACCCACTGGACCCTGAACAAGTCACTTTGCCTCTGCAAACCACAGTTTTCTCATCTGCAAAATGGGATTGTATGAGGAAATGGTGCATGTCAGGTGCCAGGTGCCAGGTACACATTTAGTGAATAGGAAGAACCTTTGCAAAGAACACAAGTGGGTCAAGGAGGGCAGAGTCCGGGAACTCCAAACAAGAAAGCAGATGAAAATTGTTCACAGCCAGCCAGTGAAAGGGCTGGGTAGAAGTTCCATCTGCGAGGCCGGAGGGAAGGCAGGTTCAGCTGCCTGCGCTGGAGGCCCAAGTCAGTCCTGTTTCCGTAGCAGGGAAGTTGCTTTGAAATGGGCACAATGCCAGCCCACAGGGTCTCTGTTAAGGCCTCGAGTCTGAAGAAGCCCTTCACCAAATTCCTCTTCCCAGCACGGGGCTTGGGCCATCCCAGAAAACCACCCTCACCACCACCCCTACATTCTCCCACACGCACAGTAGGTGGCGCTGTAATACAGAACAGAACCCAATTACCCCGAAACAGGACAGGTAAGGGAAACATCACATTTTGTGAACTGCCCACCAAGGGCCACCATACCCTCCAAACCGAAGGGTGCAGAATTCCCTGCAGCCTGTGGACCGGTGGGAGGTGGAGGGTCTCAAAAATGAAGTCCAGCCACATTGCTGGACACACGTGCTGCCAACCCCTGATCCTCAGTGCCAGCAGTGGGGTCAGTGCGGTGGGAAGATATCTGAGCACTGCTGCAGGATGAGCTCCACCACCTGGTTCTGGAACACCATGGTCATGGGCATGCTGGTTTCCTCCGTCTCGGGCCGCAGTAGCGTGGGCCCGAACACTATGGCCACGCTCTGCACAGACATACGGTTCTGTTCGCCGAACTCAATCACCCTGCAGCGGGGGCGGAGTGGAATCAGGGCCCAGGGGGAGTCCCGCCAGTGCCCGCCTCCTCAGTCCCGCAGGCCACCCGCTCACCTGCACAGGTGCTGGAAGAGTAGTCGCATCGTGTCGTGATTGGGGGCCGGCAGCGTGCGCACCAGGTCACGCACGCAGCGGCTGCGCTGGGCCTGGTCCTGCAGCTCTAGGGGGGGGAAGGGTGGGCTCGGCGAGGGGAACGCCACGGATGGGGCTAACCTCTAGTGTGTGGGGGGGGCCCTGCCTGAGGCAGGCGAGCTGCACCCCTATCCCATCCACCCTGCCTTCCCAGGGACTCACTGATGGCCGCGATGAACTGGCGGAAGTGCGAGAAGGGAAAGAGGGGCTCGGGCAGCTCTCGGAAGAAGAGCTTCAGGGCGCCGGTAATAACGTGAACATCCTCCCAGCGTCCGTCGTCCAGGTCCAGACGCTCATCTGCGGCAAGGGGGCAGGAGGAAGAAGAGGTGAGCACCCCTTCATGCCTTCGGGCCCTGGGGCGGGGACTGCGGAGCCTCACCGTGGTCCACCTTATAACGCAGCTTCTGGATGGTGGCCAGGTTGCCACTGATGCGGTACAGCCCGTCGATGTCCAGCCCTGGAGAGAGGGAGGCGCTGACCCCGGGTTGGTGCGATGGGACGAAAGCCCCTGCTACTCCTCCTCGGGAGCGCCCGGTCTTTCCCCTCCACCCTGTGCCCACCCAGGGGCCTCCATCACGCGGTCCTGGAAGGAGGCTGCCA